TGTTAACCTTCCTTCTCTTTTCAAATAAGATTATATATATATATAATTTAAAAAACACCCTTTTTACTTACCTAAAGCCACAGTCATGTGATGCGGAGGTGTCTTAGTCTTCTCCTTCCTTTGTTTACATCCAGCGGGGGTCCTTCTTCAGATGACCACATCATGCAGGCAGTGATGTGGATACTTCCCTTTTGGCTGTCCAGTGGCCGGGACCCCTCAGGATTTAGTAAAGGAGTGATGTCAATGCCAGGGGACTGTCAGGCACCAGCACATCTGCAGTACTGGATTCTGCACCCAGAAACACCAGCGATGGACCTGCACGGTGGACAGTAGCGAGTATAAGTTGCTTCATCAGGCAAGTAAAACTAAAAGCCTTGAGGATGGGTTGGGGGATGTTTGTTCATATTTTGCCCACGGTGGCACAGTGGGGCTTTAAGAATATATCATTGGTCAAATGGATCAAGTCATCAGAACCATAAAGGCGGGGAACAAAAAGCCCCCCGCCCCCCCATAAAACACATGAAGGGGAAACTCCAAACCTACGGAGCTTTTAAAACGTTAGCCAAAATTTAGGTATGCAAAAGACATCCCACCCTTAGCAGGAGTCAAACCCTACTGCTACCAGTGCAGTCTATAGGGATTCCCGGCCATTACCAGACAGACGAACCTCTGACTCTTAGGCAGCATTGCAATAGGCAGTTCAGAGTGGTGGGGGGCTCATGGAACAGGCCCGTGTACCGGCAGTATGCAACCTGCTTTTGTAAACATTTGTTCATTCCGCAACTAACCTTTAATTATCGTTATTTCCTCGTATTGCAGGCAAGATGATCACAATTCCAAACCATATAAATCATCTGAGCACATCATACGGCCACACACTACAATGACAGCAGAAGATCCGGCAGGTAATCTGTCCCTTCAAGTATTCTGGATGGAGCAGGAGAAGCGTCGGACCCTCTGTTAGGATTTTATCGCCGTCTGTTACCAGTGGGGAGATTGACCCTCGCCTGGTGACCAATGTTAATGATGATGGGAAATCTAAAATCTGAATTGTCACAGAAGTGGGAATAGAGGGGACATTTCTTCTAACAACTGTCTACGAGGGGATAACCCTCCCTGGCAAAGATCTCATCTTACTTCCCCCGGCATCTCCAGGACAGGAAGAGAAGGGAAATCCGAAACCCAAAAACTTCAGAACCAGCCAGCTGCGTCAGTGCTGCCTTCTGCAGCGATGGAAACGTCCTCACATCCTATACAGTGTGTATAGAACGGAATGACTCGGGGACGTTAGACCGCTGCAGAGGAGGGGGTGTGAGGCTCTAGGGACGGGTCTAAGAGCCAGCAGGCTCGGAGGATCAGTAAGTATTGCCTTGTTATTTCTTGAACCTAGACAAAAACAGGCACTTAACCCTTTTAGAGTGGAGCCCCACTGCAAGGGTTAAGAACATTTTTACCCGGAGTTCCGCTTTAACCATTCCAAACTCCATTTAAAAATAAAACAAGGTAGGGAACGGAACATTACAGTAATGCCCCACGTATCTACAAGCCTTATGATCTGTAATCCAAGCCTTGAGCATGGCATGTCTTTCACTGACAGCAGAAAGCAGTGCTATGTGACGGCCCAAAACACAAACAGGCAAGCCGGCTGTGCCAAGACCAACAGAAGTCCAGCCAAATAATAAAACATTTCAGTGGCTGGAGAACAGTCTCCACAAGACCAGCCTGTCCTCTCTGTATACCAGGAGAAGCAAAACTAACATCCTGTCCGGCATTCAACACCAGAGGCCTGGCCAATACGCCCAACAAGGCATCCAACTACCTGACAAGGCACGCAAGCGGCCATATTGTTCTCAGCCCTCAGCTGAATGCTTATTACAAGTGCCAGAACCAGAGGAAGCATCTGTTTAAAAGGGAACAGTGGAAGTATTTTCAGCGAGTACCCAATTTGGGGATTAAATGTGAAAGTCTAATGCAATGATATAAAAAGTTTACTGAACACCACAATGTGTCCAAAGTGGCAGACTACATAAGAAAAAAGTTTTCAAAAACCCAAAAATTATTTGCAGTTGTTGCAAGAGTCACATCGCCCCTAAACCTGAAGCCTGACAGGTGTACAGCGCTGAAAGGCTCCAGCAAGTGAGAAATAAGAGTACAGATGAGTGAACCTGAGGACTGGATGTAATTCGGCACACAGAGCCGCTATGTAGAAGTGGGAAGTGACCCTATAGCCAGGCGTAAGACCGTACAACAGCAGCCCCCCAGTAAAACCAGCTATATACTTGCCTGGCTGGTGGCCGGTGTCTTGTGGCTGCATTGCTCGGCCTGAGACAAGGGCTGTTGGACAGCTGTAGGGCTGCAACAACTAATTGATTAACCTCTGTGGCGGTATTCCTCGGGGTTAATTTTCAGTACCAAGAGCGTTAACCCCCGAGCCACATTCGGGATTGCACAAAAGTGTCACTTACCTTGTCCCTGCGAGCCCGCGGTGTCCTCTGCTGTGTGCGCCCGGGTGATGCCGGCATCCGACTTTTAGTTTTGTTTTCGGCGTCACAGCGGGGGGGCGGAGCCGGCGGGAAATTCAAAAGTGAAAACATGCAATATACACAGAATACACACAATACAATGTAATCTGCCTTGATTACATATATGTATCAAGCTTATTTCACTCCATTTTTGTCCCTAGAGCTTTGTCCAGTGCCCTGCCTGCACTTTCTGCCTGGAAACTTGAGAACGTCCATGGCATCCAAAAAGCGTCCCTTTAGGTCAAAAGCCCTTTTAGACCAGGTAGAAAACGGCGATAGTCAATTACAATCACTTGCAGAATGGAGCGATTCGTTGGGAAATTCGTCATCAGACACTGAAAGTGAGGACAGCGACCGAGCTCAGTGATGTGCGAACTTCATTTTTCTTATAAATAATTATAAAAAATTATAATATATTATAATTTATGATTTTGCTTTTCAAACTTTATCATACCGGGGATGTCTACTGGACTCTTGTTTGGACAGATTTACAGGCCTACAATATAAAACAACTAATTGCAATGAAAAACAATGTACCGCTTTGGCAGGCTAAAATCCTGCATAATCATACCGCCAGGGAGGTTAAATCGAATATAAAAATCGATGAGAATCGCTGGCAACGATTCTCATCATCGATTAGTTGCCGCCGCTCTGCTCTTCTGTTCTTCTCCCCCGCTGGTGCCGGCTGCAACAGTCTGTGTACCTTTCAATCCCTGCTTGCCCCCCCCCCCACCACCCGCGTCGGTAGAGGCAGCAGGGACACCGACCACTGCAGCTGGCACCAGCGGGGAGGAGAGACCGCTGTGACTGCATTCATCCGCTGACTCTAGGGATAGGGATACATTTTGGGCCCGGAAACAATCTGGTCTGGAGATGATCTGGATGTGGAGTGAATGGGCCCCAAGTGAGGAGCACACCACACCATCAATCCCAGACTGACCTCATTAGGAGGAGGTGCAGTGCCTAGCAGTCCACTCACC